AGAAAGCAAAAGTGTCACTCTCTCAGACACTTATGTCAACAATTTTAGATTTTTGAGTATTTTGGAGTTCTAGAAAAGGGATGCCCAACCTGTATTACCGAGAAAGCTACTAATTCCCTTCTCGATGTTGAGTAATTTAGAGCAAAGGGTTCGTGCAGCTCAGAGAACCCTTTGCATCAAGGCCCGAAGAGAAATCCACAGAAAAGGAAATCTTAGAATATAGTGCTATAACTCATTCCAAGTCAGGATAGGGGTATACAAAACATATTTATTTAGTGGAAAAACAGTAACTATTCCTATAAACTGGGACCATTTCAGATAGGGGGGAAATATATGACTGCAATTTTTTTTGTTCATATAGGTCATCATGCTTGAAGAAATCGTTATCAGATTTCAGGAATGAGTTATTGAGCACTGCTAGGGAATATTGAAGAATGAAGCATTTTGCATGTTGAGCTTAGCACATAGGATCAGAACACACATCATTTTAAGCATCTTAATACGTAAAACCTACCCAGTCACTGTCATAAATGATTACTGTATCTGCTGCCGTCAGATTAATGCCAAGACCTCCAGCCCGCGTGCTCAGANTGCTCAGAAGAAATATAAAAACTTCTGGATCTTTGTTAAATTTACTCATCTGTAAAAATACAGAAGACATGTAGAATAAAAGGATGATCTATAATAGAAAATGTAATTGTCACTTAATTGATATTGCCATTGCATTTCAAAGGATGTATTCTACCAGATAATCAGTTGTATTTACTGACTACTCTGTTAAGCATCATAGAAGCACAGAACTTGTGGTTTCAAGAATTTTTGGACTTCAACTTTCATCAGTTCCAGCAAGTATGACAAATGGTGTTTGTAATCCAAAAGATCTGAAAGGTATCACAATTAAAAAAAGAAGATGCCACTGATCTTTGTTTTAATGGCAACAGATTAACATCGGTTTCCTCCTCAGGAACTCTGCCACTGTCTTCTAGTTTATCCTTCTCCATTGCCTCCTTATGTAAAAGCAGTGGAGGATCTGTCTGTATCCTCTCTCCTGGGATTAATAATTAAAACTAATTCCAATCATAGTTCTCCCCACACCCAAAATTAGTAGAAGACTAAAAGGTAAAGACCATAAGCCCTGAAAGGCCACTTCTTCACCAGTCCAGAAAGCAATCAATGTGTTAAAATAAATTTTAAAAAGGTAAGTGATGACAAAACTTCCAGAGGCTCAGAGAATGTGACTCAAGGTCAAAAGAGTGTGACTTGCTTAAGGCAACAATGTAAAAAATATTTCAAATTGAATTCTCTGCATCCTTCTCTGAGGCTGAGAGTGCGACTCAAAGCCAAGAGTGACTTACTCTAGAAAACCATTTATTAATAACTAGCTTATGTACCCGGTGGTGTTGCTTGAGTCTGCATTTTCTAATGCTATGTCTTAGAAATACTCATTCACTCAGTATCCAGCAGTACCTTAAGATTTATTGTGGATCAATAAATCTTAAGGTACCATCTATCAATACAGTACACAATAATGAATAGCAATGCACTGTATTTTACATGTTATTATATGACACCGAAACCTATTCTAAAAGTTTTGGTTTTAGGCCTCTTCCTGGGGTAACTTGGGGCACTGATTGAGAAAACTGCATCGGATAAACCACATCAGCTCTAGTTTTTTAGACATGGTTATCATGGTATTCTATCGGGGAGCAGATGGCAAGTGTTAGATAGCATATGTTATGTATCTCAAAAGCTAGATCTCATAGAGGAAAACATTTTTTGGAATCAGTAGGTGAAATGTACCAGAAACCGGACTAACCACTGAGGAATCAAAATGTGTGTTGAATTTGTAAGATTTTAAATGAATGTTTTAATTGTAATTTTATTGCTATTGTTTGTGTGGCATCTAATGAGTGCCTACTGTAAACTGCTCGGAGTCCCTCTTTGGGGGTGAGAAGGGTGGCATATAAATGTCCAAAATAAATAATAATAAAATAACCCTATTGTATGGATAGGGGAAAGAGGGGATACAGAGGGGAGATCTGAGCGAGTGATTTCCTGATTAATAGCTCAGCCTAAGTCATTTTGCTGCCATGCCTCTCTTGTTAGGCTTCTCTTGGTATCTGTAGCTATGTTCCTTTTCCTATCCCAGTCTTTCACTGTAGTAGATGAAGAATCTCAGAAGAACCATGCAAGGCAAGCTTAAGCCTCAAAGAAAAGAGTCACATACATTTTCATCTCTCTCTGTATAGGACATGCTTCCATCCAAGCGACTGAACTGGTAATTCCTCAGATAGCAGTAGTCCATCAAAATATCCAACATCTGTGTCATTTGTGAGAATAGCAGCACCTGCATAGAGCAAATGTTATCAGTAATCTTATCTGAAATGTTTTAAGCAATTTCTGAGAGCATCAAAAAGAATACCTTGTGTCCTCGCTTTTTCAGCTCTGGCAGCATGCGATCCAAGAGTAGAAATTTGCCTGAACTGTTCACTAGATCTTCATCAACCTTG